GAAGAACTAAAGAGCCTCTTGATGAAAGTGAAAGAGGACAGTGAAAAATTTGGCTTAAAGCTCAACATTCAGAAAACAAAGATCATGGCATCTGGTCCCATCACTTCATGGCAAATAGATGAGGAAACAGTGGAAACAGTGGCTGACTTTATTTTGGGGGGCTCCAAAATCACTGCATGATGGTGAATGCAGCCATGAAATTAAAAGACACTTGCTCCTTGGGAGAAAAGTTATGACCAACCTAGACAGCATATTAAAAAGCAGAGACATTACTTTGTCAAGAAAGGTCCATCTAGTGTAGGCTAAGGTTTTTCCATTGGTCATGTATGGATGTCAGAGTTGGAGTATAAAGAAAGCTGAGCACCGAAGAATTGATGCTTTTGAACTGTGGTGTTGGAGAAGACTCTTGAGAGTCCCCTGGACTGCAAGGAGATCCAACCAGTCCATCCTAAAGGAGATAAGTCCTGGATGTTCATTGGAAGGACTTATGTTGAAGCTGAAACTCCAATACTTTGGTCACCTGATGCAAAGAACTGACTCATTTGAAAAGACCCTGATGCTTGGAATGATTGAGGGCAGGAGGAGAAGGGGACGACAGAGGATGAGATGGTTGGATGGTATCACCGACTCATTGGACATGGGTTTGGGTGGACTCCAGGAGTTGGTGATGGACAGGGAGGTCTGGTGTGCTGTGGTTCATAGGGTTGCAAAGAGTCGGACACGACTGAGCAACTGAACTGAACTGAACTGTCTATCAGATCTTATCCCTCGAATCTATTTCTCACTTCCACTGTATAAGGGATTTGCTTTAGGTCATACCTGAATGGTCTAGTGGTTTTCCCCATTTTCTTCAATCTAAGTCTAGCACTCAACTATCCCTGCTTCATCAGGGAAATAAGAGACAAAGCCAGAGACACAGTGACCACCCTCTGCATTTCTCTGCAGTGACCACTGACCACACCCAGCAGTCTGCATCTCTCCCAGGCCAGCTCTCTTTCAAGTTGCTTTCTCATCCACCCCCTGTCCAGCCCACTGAAGGCTTCCCTAACCTTCTCCTCACCTGTGTATGTCCCAGAAGTGTGGCTGCAGTGCAGGGAGCATAAAAGGACTGAGGTCTCTGGTCTTTAGTGTTTACTCCTGTAAGAAATAGATATCTTTGAAAATCCAGGAGGAAAGTGCTCATCAGAATTTCTACCAGAATTCCCAGAACTGTGGTTGCTTGTGACCTCTGAGTCTCCCACTGACCCCTGCCTCTGTTTGCCCCCAACCCCTGCTTTTAATGGGCTTCCCTCGTGGCTCAAATAGTAAAGAATCTGCCTTCAATGTGGGAGACCTGGGTTCAGTCCCTGGGTCAGGAAGATCCCCTGGAGGAGGAAATGGCAACCCACTCCAGTATCTGGCCTGGAGAATTCCCTGGAGTGAGGAGCCTGGTGGGCTACAGTCCGTGGGGTCACTAAGAGTCTAATACAATTAAGCCACTTTCTCTTTCCTGCTTTTAATAGCACATCTGAAAAATGTGGTCCTTCACTCTGACTGATGAAAACCCGACTTGGTCATCAAGGGCATCCTTGGACAGGGTGAGAGTCAGGCTTAACTTGGATTTTTTAGAAGAATTTCTTACCATGTCAGAGTCATTCATAACGAAGAACATGTTTGGGATATTCCTTCTATAGTTCAGAGTCCCATTGAAATGGCTAGTTATCCAACTTACCCCCTGTGGCTTGGCTCTTTTAGAAGAAAGCTCTCCAGTAAATCCAAGAAGTGGAAATCAATATTTAACCTGGGACGTTCTGGATCAGACTCCAAATCAAAGCTGAGTAGAAACGGGAGTGTATTTGTGAGAGGACAGAGGCTCTCAGGTAAGAATCAACAACGGTTATGTTTTATAAGAGAGATAGAGATATATATGTTTCTGTTTCTTAAGTCTTTGGTTTGATTAGGTCAAGCTCACTAATCCTAGAAGAGAAACTTGTAAATTAACTGAAGAGCTGGTTTTGGTTTTTATTAAGTTTATTTGTTTATTTTGGCTGCACTGGGTTTCTTTGCCGCACAGGCTTTTCTCTGTCGCAGTGAGCAGGTGCTGCTCTTCACTGCAGTGCGCTGGCTTTTCATTGCAGCGGCTGCTCTTGTTGCGGAGCTCTAGCTCTAGGTGTGCAGGCTTCAGGAGTCGTGGCACGTGGGCTTTAGAGCACAAGCTCAGTAGTTGTGGCGCACGGGCCTCGGTGCTCTGAGGCATGTGGGCTCTTCCCAGAGCAGGGATGGAACCCATGTCCCCTGCCTTGACAGGTGAATTCCCAACCACTGGACCACCTTGGAAGTCCTTTTTTTTAAAAAATAACTTTGCATTTACAAAAAGTTTTCAAAAATAGTACACAGAGAACCCATATACCCTTCATGCAGCTTCCCCAAAAGCTAATGTATTAAATGACTGTAATACAGTGATCAAAACCATAATGTTACTATCAATGCAATACTATTAAATAATTTACAGATGTTATTTGTATTTGGCCCTTTGTCCTACTAATGTCCAGGCCCCACGGGGCCAGGATCTAGTCGAGGAACCCACATTGCATTTAGATGTCATGCCTCCTTAATCTTCCAACCTAGGCAGCTCCTCCGTCTTTCTGACTTTGACACTTTGGAAGAGTTTTGGGCATTTATTTTGTAGAATATACCTCAGTTTGGGATTGTCTGGTGTTTTCTCATGGTTAGATTGAGGTTACAAATGCTGTACCTGTCACAGTGTGCCATATCAGAGAGTGCATGAGGTCAGTGTTTTATTGTTGGTGATGTCAACTTTGATCACTCAGTTAAAGTGCTGTCTACAAGGTTTGTTCCTGTGAAGTTACTATTTTTTTCCTTTGCAATTAATAAGTGTCTTGTGGGAGATACTTTCAGACCACGCAAATATCCTTTTCCTCATCATACTTTCATCCATGAATTTTAGTATCCTTCAGTGGTTCTTGCCTATAACAGTTATAACTATGGTATTTACCATATGGTAATTTTCCATTTCCATCATTCTTTCTATATTTATTAATGAACTTTACTGTAAGGAAGATCTGACATTTAAATAAGGATGCTGCCCTGTGGGAATTATATCTGAGTAGTAAGTAGAACTGATGCAGGAGGGAACCAAGGGAACCACTATAAAATGGGGAATAAAATCAATCTAGCTGAATATTATATCAGAAAGGGAAGGCCAAAGAAATTTGACACAGTGGCATTTAGTGCTATAGACTGAAAGCATGATTTTTTTTTTTAAATGAGAGCAATAGTTATGAAAACAAGTAGTAAAAGGTAAACATACAAAATACAATGAGAAAACCTTGATTGAATCTTAGTTTGAAAAAATAAAAAGCACTACAGGGCTTCCCGGGTTGTCCAGTGGTTAAGAATCCACCTGCCAATGCAGGGAACATGAGTTCAATCCCTGGTCCAGGAAGATCCCACGTGCTGCAGAGCAACTAAGCCGGTGTGCCACAACTCCTAAAGCCCGCGCTCTGGAGCACATGCTCGGCAACCAGGGAAGCCACACAGTGAGAGGCCTCCACACCGCAATGAAGAGCGGCCCCTGCTTGCCAAAACTAGAGGAAATCCGCAAGCAGCAATGAAGACCCAGTGCAGCCAAAAATAAATTTAAAAAAAAATTTTTAAAGGCTACAAAAGATAATTTTGAGGACAAATAGGCTAGATTTTAGATGATATTAAAAATAGTAAATTTTTATAGTTTGCTGGTGCTTAAGAGACATATGCTAAAGTTAAGTATTTAAAGATGAAGTGTCAAAATACTGAAACTCACTTTTAAATGATTCTGCAAAATATAAATATGTAGGTAGATAAATAGATTAGAAATAGATGAAACAAACATGGCAAAATGTGAACCTAGATGGTAGGTTTAGAGGTCTTCAGCGGCTCTGAATGTTTGAAATTCTTAACAATAAAGATTTTGGGGGAAAAAAACTAATATCTGTAGAGGAAATTTAGAGAATATCTTTAAGAACCTTCCTCAACACTGGTTATAATTGTACGCCAAGGATCATAAAGCATAGATGTTAGAAGTCATCACGTTGTCCTATTGGAGTAATGAGGGATTTCACCAGGTATAGTGGCTATAGTGGTTTAGGCTGTATGTGTGTGCTCAGTTCTGTCCGACTCCTTGTGACCCCATGGACTGTAGCCCGCCAGGCTCGTCTGTCCATGGAATTTTCCAGGCAAGAATACTGGAGCAAATTGCCATTTCCTACTTCAGGGGGTCTTCCCGAACCAGGGATTGAACCCACATCTGTGTCTCCTGCATTGGCAGGTAGATTCTTTACCACTGCACTACCTGGGAAGCTTGGTTTCAGCTGCAAGAAGGGGAAATCCAACTCTATTGGCTTATGCAAGGAGGTAACTTATTGGGACAGCCAGATGTAGGGAAAGCTTCAGGGACCATTTAGTCTAATGACTGTGTTTCCATTTCTCCATGTTTTCCTCAGCTATGCCCTCCTATGAGGGTCAGCTTTATCCTCACACTGGCTCCCTTTGCAGCAATAAAGTGGGTATAGTATTAATAGTTCTAGGTTTTACCTTTGACTATCATTATGACCAGAAGGAGAAAGAACATCATTTCTGGTAGCTTGCTTCTTGGTGCAGGGACCCTTCTTTCCCAGAACCTCCGCATTAAGTGTCTGTCACCCTCGCCACCCCCCACCCCACAATAGTAGCCTTCACTTAGTCACATGGGTCGATCCTTATGGCCAGGATCCTTATGGCTTACCAGCTTAGGACTGGATTCCTGAACCAATCACTGGCATGAGGAATGGCATTACACCCATTGGGTGAGGAATGAGGTACACCCAAGCTGGACAGGGCTCTGTGAGAAGGGGAAGGGAAATGGATTCTGGATAGGCATCTGTAATATCCATTTTATGGGGGAAAATGTCTTTTACAAAATGGCAAGATAGCCAGGTGAAGAGGACAGGTCACCATAGGTATGGAAGGCCTGATACAAGTTAGAAGTTAGGATTCTCAAAGGAGAATTTAAGGGGTGTACCTGGCAAGAAACTCCTGATCTAATAATAGATTTGCTGAAGCACATCAGCAAGAACTTCAGTTACAGAATTAGTGCCACAATGTAAGAGGTTCACCAAGTACCAAAAAGTTAAAAGAACAAAACAATTGAGTAAAAATAGAATAAATGATTTGTTTTGATCTTGACTTAGGAAGAGTTCCACCCCCATGTGGTTTTCAAAAGGAAGAAGCTCCAGGTGCTGGATCAAACAGTGGTAAATTCATAGAATGTACAGGATGTCCCTGGCTGGCTTCTCAGCTCGGCTGCACCTCAGAATCACCCACAGGATGTGGTTCACACCCACGGCAGCTCTGTATCAGGAGGACTGTGATAAAGTCAGAGTATTGGTAACTTTTTACAAGCTCCCCAGAAGATTCTGATATGCAGCCAGAGTTGAAAACCACTGCTACCTCATGAACAAGCTAGCCAGAAATAGTTCGTCAAACTGGCTGGCTTTTGATGGGGTGCAGAGGTGAAATTAAAGAACCATCAGTGTCAATATAAGTAGCTCTCTGTGACCTTGACTATTGCCTGAGTGGCCATGTTTCACCAGAAGAGTGTTGTTGAAACCCTAAAAATTAAAAACTGGGTAGGGGGTGGATAGGGGTGGTCATAACCCTGTAATAATCTGATTATTTGTTGAAATATACTTGTGAAAAAGGAAATCAGTGGATTAACATATTTAAATAATTTTTTAAATCTTTTTTTTAAGTTTCATAATTAAGAACATTTTAAAAGTTCATTCACCATGTTTATAGTACTGGAGTTTTTTGTGTGGGGGTGGTGCAGGTGAAGGGATGTTTAACCATGTTTAGAAAATGGAACAGAAATGGGAGATACTAAAGAGAACTACTGCATAGGAACCTGGAATGTTAGGTCCATGAACCAAGGTAAATTAGAAGTGGTCAAACAGGAGATGGCAAGAGTGAACTAAAATGGACTGGAATGGGTGAATTTAATTCAGATGATCATTGTATCTACTACTGTGGGCAAGAATCCCTTAGAAGAAATGGAGTAGCCCTCATGTCAACAAGAGTCCAAAACGCAATCTCAAAAACAACAGAATGATCTAGTTCATTTCCAAGCAAACCATTCAACATCAAAGTAATCCAAGTGTATGCCCCAACCACTAATGCTGAAGAAGCTGAAGTTGACTGGTTCTATGAAGACCTATAGCACCTTCTAGAACTAACACTCCAAAATATATCCTTTTCATCATAGGGGATTGGAATACAAAAGTAGGAAGTCAAGAGATACCTGGAGTAACAGGCAAGTTTAGCATTGCAGTACAAAATGAAGCAGGGTAAAGGCTAATAGAGTTTTGTCAAGAGAACGTACTGGTCATAGCAAACACCCTTTTTCAACAACACAAGAGATGACTTTACACATGGACATCACCAAATGGTCAATACTGATTTCAGGTTGATTATATTCTTTGCAGCCAAAAATGTAGAAGCTCTTTATGATCAGCAGAAACTAGACCTGGAGCTGACTGTGGCTCAAATCATGAACTTCATATTGCAAAATTCAGGCTTAAATTGAAGTAAGTAGGAAAACCACTAGGCCATTTAGGTATGACCTAAATAAAATCTATGATTATACAGTGGAGGTGCCAAACAGAGTGAAGGGATTAGATCTGGTAGACAGAGTGCCTGAAGAACCATCAATGGAGGTTCATAACATAGTACAGGAGTCAGTGACCAAAACCATCCCAAAGAAAAAGAAATACATTTGATTAGCATAATCTGATAAAATTAGAAATAAATAATGAAAAAATCACCAAAATTTTAATGATGTGAATATAAAGAATCATTACCTTGGGAAATTCTTCAACCAAACAGGAAATCAAACTGAAATTATATCAAGAGAGCAATGAAGAGGAATTCTTATTCTGAAAACCAATGGAACTGAGATGAAAATCTGTAACTGTGATTGACTTAATTTTTAAAGAAGAAAAACCAAGAAAAGGAGCAAAGTATTCATGTTAAGAAATTAGAAAAAGAAGCATAAAATAATCCAAAGTTATTGGACAGATGGAATTATCTAAATAAAAAGATGAAACAAATAAAGCATAGTGAAAATTGCTCAGTCATGCCCGACTCTTTGTGACCCCATGGACTATACAGTCCCCAGAATTCTCCAGGCCAGAATACTGAACTGGGTAGCCTTTCCTTTCTCCAGGGGAGGATCGAACTCAGGTCTCCCTCATTACAGGCAGATTCTTTACCAGCTGAGCCACAGGGGAAACCTAAATAAAGCATAATAAAATACTAAATAGAAACAAGAAGTATATATGCAAAGTATTGGTTTTTTAAAACAAATGAGATAGCTAACCCACTCTCAGATGAGCATAACTTAGAAAAATTGAGGGTAAAAAATACATGACATTAAGAATGAGAAATCACTCATAGCCACAGATACGGGAAAGATTAAGTTGTCCATAGCAACAAAATTGAAAATCTATATTGAAAATTGGAACCCACTCCAGTATTCTTGCCTGGGAAATCCCATGGTCAGAGGAGCCTGGTGGGCTACAGTCCAAGGGGTCNTATTATCAAACAGGAAAATTCCAGGGAACTCTCTAAAGTGAACTCCTTTGAGCAGGGAAATAAAGCCACAGAGATAATCTAAGAGAGGGGACTCAAGGACCCAAAGAAAATGGGTGAGTGCATTGCCATGAGGCCAAGGTCCCAGGCAGAAAAAATAATCTAAATACAGCTAGCCAGACTTTCCTGGTGGTCCAGTGGTTAAGAATCCACCTGCCAATGAAAGGGGCATGGATTCAATCCCTGGTTTGGGAAGATCCCACTTGCCGTAGAGCAGCGAAGCCCGTGTGCTTACAACCTGTGCTCTTCAACAAGAGAAGCCACGCAATGAGAAGCCTGCACACTGCCATAAAGACCTAGTGCAGCCAAAAAGAAATAAGTAAACAAACAAACAAAGCCCTTGCCTGAAAGCCCAGGGGAGTTCAGGTCTTTGAATGAATGAATAAATATCTACAGTTAGGCCTTCATATCTGCATATGTGGGATGTATGGGTAGACAAGGCTGATTGTAGTTCACCATTTATATAAGGATCTTGAGCATCCAGTGGATTATGGTACCTGTGGGGGTCCTGGAACCAATCCTCTGCAAATACTGAGGGAAAACTCTATGGTCATAGACCACAGAGCCCTGAGTGCTTAGTCACTGTCCAGGCAAGGAGCCAGGGAATTGTTGGAGACTGTTCACTTCTGTGTCTGCCAGGGCCACAGGGAGCTTCATGGTCAGACAGAGGGTCCCAAGGGAAAGCTGAACACTGATGGCCCTGCAGCTAGAACTGTTGTCCGTCCTCTCTGACACTCAGGGTCACCAGGAAAAATTTTGTCTCCGAATCCATGAATGGAGATCTCCTGGGCATCTCGTGGTTAGGATTCAGCACTTTCACTGCCATGGCTGGGGTTCAATCGCTGGTCAGGGAACTGAGATCCCGCAAGCTGCATGTGTGCTGTGCTTGATCACTCAGTCGTGTCTGACTCTTTGGAACCCCATGGACTGTGGCCCGCCAGGCTCCTCTGTCCATGGGATTCTCCAGGCAAGAATACTAGAGTGGGTTGCCATGCCCTCCTCCAGGNTGTCATGCCCTTCTCCAGGAGATCTTCCCAACCCAGAGATCGAACCCAGGTCTCCCACATCTCAGGCAGATTCTTTACCAGCTGAGCTACCAGAGAAGCTACCATGCAAACGTATAGTGTAGCCAAAAGAAAAAACGAATACATGAATGAAAGGAGGCTGGCCAGGCAAGATTTTTTGTTTGTTTCTAAATATTTATTTATTTGGCTGCGTCGAGTCTTGGTTGTTGTAGCATATAGGCTTTTTGTTGCAGCAAGCAGGCTTCGTTGCCCCACAGCATATGGATCTTAGTTCCCCCACCACGGATCGAACCCATGTCTCCTGCATTTGATGGTGAATTCTTAACCACTGGACCACCAGAGAAGTCCCAATGGCCAGGCAGTTTTAGAAGTCATTTTGTAAACGTGTGGGAATAGTTGATCTTCCAAGGATGAGAATTATTCTTACTTCTGAAAGGAAGGAGGTAGAAGGCAGTCTTGGCATCATCATTGCTAAGTCCTTGAAGAGCCCAGTGGGCCCCAGGCAGAGAAGCGCCGAGCCTGGGAGGCTAAGGGGTTAATTAAGAGCCTCTCAAAAGAAGCAGGATGTGGATCAAGAAGGAAAAAAGGAACTTTGAGAGAGGGATTAAACAAGTGTGAGTTAAGACCCAACTGGGGCTAGGGCAATTCTGAGTGCTTCTTTTAGAACCATTTCCTGGGTTCTCCTTTGTTGCTGAACCCTGGTTTATCTTGAATAACATCAACAACAATAAACAATAATGACTCCTTCAGCATTTACTTGAGTCTAGATTAATACAATCTACTTTATATGCATTACTCATTTCATCCTCATAACAGCTCTACTTTTCTTCCTTTTCATGCCAAAAAAAATGAAAGTTCTAAAAGGTAAGCTGCTTATCTGAGCCCAACAGTGGGAGAATTGGGATTCAAAGTCAGATGTGTCTGGATCCAGAGTTACCTTAAAGCCACTTCTAAAGAGTTACTTTAGAAGCCCTGGCCAGCTTCTAAATTGCCCTTTCTCCCATCCTAGCAAGTTTGACCTGGAGGGAACTACCTTCCAGCCAGTTTGGCTTCCTGAAAAGAGATGATTTTGTGAAAATGCCTATGCCTATAAATGGACTAATAAAATTTCACACTCTTCTGAAAACCTGCTTAAGTGACTTACAAAGATGCATAGAATCCTTCAGGCACATAGCAGGTGCTCAAAAAAAGTTTGTTTGGTTGGGATCTGCTCCAGGGTGAGGTTGGTGGGTGAGAGCTTTAGGGGAGCAACCAGACTGTGGACCTCAAGGAGCAGAGCTGCTTGTGGGAGAAGGGTGACCCACAGAGAAAAGGTGACTCATGAGAGACAGAGGGGAAAGTTCCCTGACCCCTCTCACCTGTTGTGCTAAATTTCTGGTTGTTGAGCAATGTGGCTACAGTCAAGAATCCTGCTGCCTGGCCCATCATCTAGGAGGCATTACCTGGAGCCCCATGGGTTCTGCCCCATGGATGAATCTTTGAATCTTTTCTGTAAAGTAAAATTGGGTTCAGGACTCCTCATTGGCTCAGAGCTTTGTGACAAAATTGTAATCTACCTTTATCTGTAAAATGTTAATAAACCTTTGATCTATAATTGCCCTATTTTTATAAGGTCAGTCCCCTTAAGAAAGTGAGAACATCTAAGGTGGCATGGGGAATGTTTTCCAAAGGGGAAATTTATAAATACTTAAAAAATTTTCCCAAAGAAATTTCTCTTTTGTACTTACAGTCTGACCTATTGTTCTAAACACTTCCTCCAAAAGTGCATTCATCAGGGATGTTTTTTCTTTTTGTCTTTAGTGGAAAAGGCTACCATCCGACCAGCTAAAAGCATGGACTCACTGTGCTCAGTGCCTGTGGAAGGTAAGATCTCACAGCTGGATTGGAAACTGGGGATTACAGCTGGAGGAGAGCTGCCCCCACACAGGACTTGCTTCATCAACCCCAGAAGCTGCTCATCTCCAGTTTTGCTCACACGCAATCCCCCGGGCCCAGATTCCTCCCTGACCCTGAGCTTCAGACGCCCACATAGCCCCTTTCTACAGCTTTGCTCCAACCTTAGCTGGAGACAACAGCCTCTTTACATTCAATCCTGAAGCAGATAATAGGTCAGCACCTAAAAACTAAGGCAGAAGTGGCTCCCTCTTAGGGCATAAAGAAGAGTTTTGAATTTGAATAGGTGTTTCCATAGGCATTGGCTTCATTGTGCTTGTCAATTCAGGATTTTGATTTGGGAGATTCATTCCTTCATTCATTAATAAACACCAAGGGCACCAGCCTGGCACATAGCTGGTCCTTGCTTATTGTAGTAGATGCGCATACAGTTGCATGCCAGCTGACACCCATCACCAAAGCAGCACCTCACCATGTTGGTTCTTACAGCTTCAGCCTTAAAAGACTGACGTGCTGTCGCCGTCACTTCTGTTTTTGTTAACTAACAAGCTAGCAAGCAGTTTTGTAGCTAGCAAGCATTGCTACATGCGAGACCCAGGGCTTCCTTAGCAGCAGGCTGTTTAAACTCCCCCATACTTAAACCATAACTTCCCAATCCCTTTAATACAAGATATTTTGCTCTTTGATAAATGAGGCAGCCTGAAACAAAACAAAAAATCTTTAGAAACAACTTTCAAAAAATAATTCTAAACTTGTAAAATATTCAATGAGGTCTTCTTAAGCAGACATGATCCTTTTAGCATTTCTCACCTTTATATTCATCAATTTGCTTGGTTCTGAAACCTCTCAGGGGCAGTTCTTGCCTAGTTTTGCAGAATTTAATATTTCAAAGCTAGGTCACCACTTCCGTGGGCGTTGGGGAGGTTATCTAACCTCTCAAGTCTCATTTCCTCATGTGTTCAGGGAGATAATTACACTTCTTCTACAGAGCGTTTTTAAGAATTTTAAATACCGTATTATCCAAGATGTAGCACTTTGTGAGAATTCTTTTCCAGATCCCTGGCAATTCGGTTGTTGTAGCCTCAGCTTCGTTATTTCCCATACAGACTTTTCTTTGTCTTCACTTCTAAGTCAGTCAGGAACTCACTCCTCACAACTGTGATTTCTAACATTTAGTTAATTTGCATTTCTAGTTTCTGAGCCTCTGAATCAGCAGGAAGAAGTCTGTGAAAAGGCAGAAAGGTCTAGCTGAAGACAGCATCTCTTTCCTTGCTGGGAAATCTAACCCCTGTCTGGGTCCATCTGCCAGAGAAAACTTAAAACAATAAGTTTTAAAGTTTTAAAATGAAATAAGACTCTATTATTTTGGACTTTTTGTCTTCACCTTCATTCTGAGCAAACATCATTTTGTCATCTCCCATCATCTTTTTATTTTTTCATGATCTACATCTAATGCTTGGTGGATGACTGTTCCATTTAGCCATTTCAGCAGTATCTTTCTTTTGGAAACTGCTCTACCTGCAAAGTTTAATTCAGATACATGTGTTGTTGTTCAGTTGCTCAGTCGCGTCTGATTCTTTTCGACCCCTTGGACTGCAGCATGCCAGGCTTCCCTGCTCTCCACTATCCTTCCCTGTCCTTCCCTGTCCCAGAGTTTGTTCAAATTCATGTCCATTGAGTTGTTGATGGCATCGAACCTTCTCATCCTCTGTCGTCCCCTTCTTCTCCTGCCCTCCACTTTTCCCAGCATCAGGGTCCTTTTCCAAAGTGAGTCGACTCTTCACATCAGGTGGCCAAAGTATTGGAACTTCAGCTTCAGCATCAGTCCTTCTAGTGAATATTCAGGGTTGATTTCCTTTAGAATTGACTAGTTTAATCTCCTTGCAGTCCAAGGGACTTTTAAGAGAGTCTTCTCCAACACACAATTAGAAAGCATCTATTCTTCAACTTTCAGTCTTCTTTATGATCCAACTCTTACATCCATATATGACTACTGGAAAAATCATAGGTTTGGCTATGATACATGTGACGCAACAGAAGAAGGTTCTATCAAGATATCATAACAGAATTCTGTGCACATGTTTCCTCTTGTCAATCAAATGTTATGTATCTGTCTTTATTAGGATAGCTATACCCTTACTGATGAGCTTCCCTGCTGGCTCAGTGGTAAAGAATCTGCCTGCCAATACAGGAGATACAGGTTCCATCCCTGGGTCAGGAAGATCCCCAGTGGAAGGAAATGGCAATCCACTGCAGTATTCTCGCCTGGGAAATCCCCTTGACAGAGGATCCTGGTGGGCTACAGTCCATGGGTCACAAAAGAGTCAGACACGACTCAGTGACTGAACAACAACAAAATACCCTTATTAGCATGCTGTATCTTTTCAGTCTTTCTAATATTCAAATATTGTGTGCCGGCCCTTGTTGGAAGTCTCTGCAGTGATGCCTATACTCAGGCTGCTGACCACGTTTGTTTGCTTTTTCACTAGGGAAAGAAACCAAAGGAAATTTCAGTCGAACCGTCACCACTGGTGGATTTTTCATCCCAGCAGCGAAAATGCACTCGACTAGCACTGGCAGCTCCTGTGACCTCAGCAAGCAGGAGGGTGAATGGGGCCAGGAGGGGATGCCGGCAGGGGCGGAGGGCGGCTTTGATGTGAGCGGAGACCGAAGCCAGCTACAGGACGCTCAGGCCCGGGCCCCGCCTGAGCAGCTGAAGGTGTTCCGACCCATTGAAGATCCCGAGAGCGAGCAAACAGCCCCGAAGATGCTGGGTATGTTCTACACCTCAAACGACAGCCCCAGCAGATCTGTCTTTACCAGCAGCCTCTTCCAAATGGAGCCTTCTCCCCGTCACCAGCGCAAGGCCCTGAACATTTCCAAGCCCTTCGCTGTGTCTGTGCCACTTCGCGTGTCAGCTGTCATCAGCACCAACAGCACTCCATGCAGAACCCCCCCAAAGGAGCTACAATCTCTTTCCAGCCTGGAAGAGTTTTCTTTCCAGGGCTCAGAGAGTGGAGAGTGGCCCGAAGAGGAGAAGTCACTGAGCGCTGAGACTTCTACAGGTAAAAAGGGAGGAGAGGGTCTCTTTCCATTGCAAGAGAGGAAAAACCAGACTTAAACATTGTCTTGTTGCAAGACAACGTAGTGAGGTGGTTAGGACCATGGGCTCTGGAGCCAGACTGCCTGGTTACAAGTCCAGGCTCAGCCATTTTGCTGTACAGTCTTCAACAAGTTTATATAACCACTCCATGCCTCAGCTTCTTGATCTATAAAATGGGAATAATGTTAACGAATATTAAATTGTGAATATTAGTTAATACATGTAAAGCTCTCAGAAGAGGGTCTAGTACATAGCAAGTACTATGTAAATGTTACTTGTTATTATTATTTTATTCATTCACATAGTGAGAAGGAAGGGGAGGGAAGCTCACGGAATGGAATGCAGAGCTGGAAATGAGGATTCAGCTCTTTCAGACACAATCTCTCCATCCACCCATCCCAAATTTCTACCTCATGTCTTCCAGGAACATGGCTAGCAGACTTAGCAATGAGAAGGAGCATCTACCTCTCACTTTCCTTGTATCAGACATAGCAAGGATTCTGATTGGGTCTGTTTGGGTCACGCCCCCAACCTTGGGCCAGTCACTGTGGCTAGATGAGTAGGATTCTAAGATTGGCCAAGCTTGAGTCTCCAGGTCTTCTCTGGAATGAGAACCAACAACCAACTGTGAGCAACACAGAAGGGAAATAATAAGAACCTCAGAGGAAAGGATGACTGAGAGACAAACCAACAGATTCTCATTGTGGTTTAAGAATATTTCTATTTCAATTAATATCAGCTAACTTTTTCTGATTACTTTTAATGATGTCAGGCACTGTCCTAAGTGTTCTACATGTGTTATCTCATTTCTCCTCACAACAACTCCTTGAGGTTATTATATAGTTACCATTATCCCTGTTTGCTAAAAGAGGAAATTGTTAACTTGCCTGAGGGCTCCTAGCAAGGACATATAAAAGTCAGGATTTTAATCCAGACTTTTAAAAAATCCAAGCATTCTGCCATGCTCCCTCTCATGTTTGCTACGGGCTGTAGGGTTACAAAGATTCTTAAAATGCAATCCCTTCCCCCAGCAAGCTCACAGGCTAGGAAGGGAAACTGAAACCCTGCACCCTCCTGCAGCACAGGGTCAACTGGTAGAAGTAGCCTAACACCCTCTTTGGGCTTTATTTTTTTCTTTTTTGAGATTTTATTTTTTAAATTGAAGTATAGTTGATTTATAGTGTTGTGTTAATTTTCACTGTACAGCAAAGTGATTCAGTTATACATACATATACATTTTTTAATATTCTTTCTCATTAAAGTTTGTCATAGGATGTTGAATATAGTTATCTGTGCTCTACAGTGGGACCTTGTTGGTTAACCATCCCATAAATAACAGTTTGTATCTGCTAACCCCATCCTCCCGAAACTCCTCCCACTTGGCAGGCACAAGTCTGTTCTCTATGCCCATGAGTCTCTTTCTGTTTTGTAGATAGGTTCATTTGTGTCATATTTTGAAAATTTTTTTTTTTGACAGGGACCATTTTTAAAGTCTTTACTGAATTGTTACAATATTGTCTCTGTTTTATGTTTTGGTTTTTTGGCCACAAGTCATGTGGGATCTTAGTTCCCCAACGAGGGATTGAACCCACACCCCCTACCATGCAAGGTGAAGTATTAACCACTGGACTGCCAGGGACGTTCCCATTTGTGTCATATTTTAGATTCTGTATTCAAGTAATATCCACATACAAGTGATATCAGATGGTATTTGTCTTTCTCTTTCTGACTTACTTCACTTAGCATGATAATCTCTAGTTGCATCCGTGTTGCTGCAAATGGCATTATTTCATTCTTTTTATGGCTGAGTAGTATTCCATTGTATATATGTATCACATCTCCTTTATCCATTCATCTGTTGATGGGCATTTAGGTTTTTCCATATCTTGGCTATTATGAATAGTGCTGCTATGAATGCAGGGGTGTATGTATCTTTTTTAATTGTAGTTTTGTCTGGATATATGTTCCATTGGGCTTTTTGAATGAGGGAGCGCATAAGTTCCCAAAGTATTATGAAAGAGGGGTTCAGAAAAGATAGCCTGAAGCAGTCCTCTCAGGAGGATTCCAGAATTCTTAGAAGTGGTGACATTTGGCCCTTCATTAATGTGTAGGACTTTTTAATGCAGAAGATATGGAAAAGGGCGTTCTGCTCTGAGAGTCACTGGACCGTTACGAGAAGTGTATAGATTTTGGACTCCAGCTGGAAGGGTCCAGATTTGAGCTTCACCACTTTGGGGCAGCATGAGAGCTGGTTGGTATCTCTGAGCCTGTTTCTTTTCTGCAGAGTGGAGATGGCTCTCGTCTCAAGGGCTGGGATGAGTTCTGCACAGGAGACTGTTCATGAAATGCCTGCTTAGAGTGTGGCCCTCAGGATGCTCAGTAAACATTCTCCTCCCCCTTCCCTTCAGGATGGAGCATAAGAGGAGTAAAAACTTAGGGGTGTTAAGTGATACCCTGTCTAGAGAATGCTCTGTCGGTTGGTATGGGTGGAACAGGGTGAGGGCTAGAAGAGGAAGTGAAACCTTTTAGGAAAAAAATGTTTCTAAAGGCTTTTATGTGACTGGTTGTCCTTCTTAAAAGAGAGGGTCCCCAAACCCCAAGGGGTCTTTGGCAGACAATCTGTTACCTTTTTTTTCCCCCTCTCTCCTTCCATCTCTTTGTAAATCAGAATACCCAGTCTGTATCAAATTGGTCTTGGAAAGACACTGATGGAGGCTCCAGCCTGCTTCCCTGACTGTGACTAGTGACAGCCAGGGCAGAATGAGGGACCTTACAGGAGGCAGCCATGTGAATCTAGGACCAGTGGCCAGAGGGAGATGCCAAAAGTTTCAGGGACATTGTGGGGCGGGTGGGGGGCTCACCTTTGTCTCTGGTGGGGTTAGGTTAACATTGGTTCTAATTACCTTCTTTCATAATTATTCCAAATGAAGAACTCCACCTTCCTTAATACATTATTTTTTATTTCTTCTGTGCAATAGCAATAGATAAAAGAAAAAGAATTAAGACAATTTTCCAGGTAACCCGATTCAAAGTTTTAGTCACTCTGCTCAAACCCATTCTTCTACTTTTGGCCAAACTTCTCCTTTCATCTCAAAACTCTCATGGCCATGCTGACCTTCAAGGGAGGCTGAGAAGCGTGGCTGAGTGGATGGTCAGGTACCTAGCTAAACTTGAGTGGCTGAGATGGTTCTATTTCAAAATAAGCAAGAGAAAGGACACTAGGGGACATTAGAAGTCTCTATCTCCATGGTCACCAACTTCATATATAAAGCATCCTATGCTGGCAATCTGACAATGCCTCTCCTCCTCTTTTGAGCTACAGAGACTCCTTTATAGCTTACAAGTATCCAGCCACAACAAGTACCGGACTCCTAGTCCCTTACATGATAGTTTCTTGACATAGGTACTGCCTCTGTGCTGAGAAGCTTAACCCAGGGATGGGTGTCACATACCAGTGGAAAGAAAATGGTAACCTGATGGCTTAGCCACACACAGGTAATAACAGTGAACGCTGTAGGAAGTGGAGAAGGAGAGCGTGGTCTGGGGAGGCTCCAAAAGATATGTTATTAGGTTAATATCTTGAAATGGGGAAGGTTTGAGTCTCAGGAAGGACCAGAGCAGGGGAGTATAAGGCCGGTCAGGGGTACTGGGTCTGCTTAGCATCTACCCCAGGGGGTGGGAGGGGAGTGGACATGTGGCTGGGCCAGAGTGAGGAGGGCTTTGAGCAGGACAGAGAGTGGCCTGAACAAGCTCACATGAAATGCAGGCCTTTCTTCCACCCCTCGCTTTAAGAGTCTACGGTCAACAAATGGAAGATCCCAAGGTTTGCAGAAAGAGACACTGGCCAACATCCAACCAAGAGATCTTAGTAAAAGGGGAAGAAAATATTTTCTTAAAATCACTGATACATTACCCTTTTACCCAGAAGTTTCACTTCCAAGAATTTGTCCTAAATAAGTAGCTGCACAAGCACAAAATGTGTATGCATATCATGGCATTATTTATAATAGCAAAAGACAGGACACACCTCAAGTGTCATCTTTAGGAGATGGATTGAATAACTAGGATGCATTCCCATTGTTGAATTCCATGGGGTTCATAGCTTTGTGAGCCCTGCACCACTTCCTCAGACTCTTATGCATCTGCAAGGGATAGTTTCTTTGCACACAGATGGTATTCTGTCTCAAGTGTCTGCCTTGTGTTTCTGGTTTTCTGCCTCAGGGCTTTTTCTGAAGGGAGACTCTTACCCAGCCCTTGCTCAAGAAAACCCAGAAGTGTGGAGTTTAACTAAGGCAGCTGTCAACCAGTAGGCGATGGGAGTCAGTAGACTAATGAGCCTGCTGCCCACCCTTGGTGGAATAACTATGTGGCACATTTACTCACAGTTCTTCAGAGGGTCACCAAGGACTGCATTCTGGTTGTTCTGGTTGTGGTAACCACTTTATTGACATTTCCTCGATCTCTGTCTCACCTCCTCACTCCTGTTTCCAGGGACCACCTTTCAAATAAGCTGCCTGCTGCCAGGACCTTGACTAAGGCTCTATTTTGAGGGGAACTCAAACTCAGCCACATCCTAAAGAAAGTGAAAGTGAAAGTTGCTCAGTCATGCCCATCTCTTCGTGACCCCATGGACTGTCCATGGGATTCTCTAGGCCAGAATACTGGAGTGGGTAGTCTTTCCCTTCTCCAGGGGATTTTCCCAACCCAGGGATCGAACCCAGGTCTCCTTCATTGCAGATGGATTCTTTACCAGCTGAACCACAAGGGAAGTCCACATCCTAAAGAACAGTCAATTTCATTATGTACTAACATGGCATAGACTTCAAGACAGGTTCTTAAGTAAAAAAATGCAAAGCAAGAACAGTATAGATCACATGTGTAATATAGATCATATTACACATTTGTGTAATAAAGGTGGGGAATAAAAAATAGATGGTACAAGTATTTGCTTATCTATGCAGAAATGAACTATGGCAGAATAAACTAGAAACTAATAAAAATGGTTATCCATAGGAGACAGTGAGGGTGTGGAACAGACTGGAAGCAACACAGGGATGAAAGCTAAACTTTTCTGAGGTCATTGATTCATATAATTTTAACTTTTCAACTCTGTAGTTGTTTTACATATTCAAAGACTAAATTAAATTTCAAAAAACAAGCCTGCTAAGTGATGGGCAGGAGAAAATAGCACTGTTGTCAGGTCTGAAGTGTTATTAGTTCCAACACCAGGATGCTGTTACTGGGTCTGACTGAGCTTCAAGGCCATCATGTGGTCAGAAGCCTTGAGTTAAGTCACCCGCATAACTAGTGGCAATGAAAAGAATTTGTTCTTAATCAATAAACTTCTATGTCAGACTCTATACTAGGTGTTTTGCCTCCCTAATCTTTATCTTCACAACAGTCCTGTAATATATTATTATATAGTATTATGCCATGTACCGAGATTACAAGATTCATTGAGAAACTAACATTTAAACTCAGACTTCTTTAATTCCAATGTAAATAATATCACTGAGCATCTTCTGTATAACCAGCACTCTGCAAGGTATGGAGACTTTATCCTACACTGTGGAAACAGCCTTGTGTGGTGAAATAGGACCTTCTTCATGAAAGGCAGTAGGGGCCAAACATGAGATCTGCTGCCTCTACTGTCTCTCTCTACTGTTGAAGATCAGAGCTTAATCACTTTACATGTAAAAATATATCCAAGTAACTGTGCAGGTAATCCCTGAAAAGAGTCACATAGGAAGCTGCAGTTATAATCATAATACATCTTTGTAGCTTAGTGTAGATAACAGATTTCTGTGACCTTAGACAGCAAGCAAAAGATTGGATTAGTACCAGGTTTCTCATCCTCAAAACTATTGACATTTTGGACTGGGTAACTCTTTGTGGGGGTTTGTCTTATGCTTTGTAGGATATTTAGAAGTGTTCCTGGCTTCCACCCACTAGATGTCAGTAGCCACTTACCCCACCTGGTTGCAACAACAAGAAGTGTCTCCAGACATTGCCAAATGTCCCCTGGAGAGGGGAGGAGTAAATGGTTTCCAGTTGAAAACAACTGGAGTAGATGATCTTCAAGGTCCCTCCCACTTCCAGCAGTCTGAGACTCTGGGATATGAGGACAGATCATTGATAGGAGGAAAGAGTAAAGAATGTGAGGGGAGTAGTGAGCTGGGAGAATCCCTTCCATCCTTGTGTAGCAGAGCTAGTCCAAGACTATGACTGTGCTGGGAATGGCCTCTCTTGACATGGAGTCTCCTTCAGCTGATAACTCTTATCCTCATTGCAGCATCTGTACCTAAGAAGGCAGCTCTCGAGAATACCAAGCCAGGACCAGACACAGTGAGAACAGTGGAATGCAGCAAAGACCTTCCCCTGGAGCAAGGCACCCAAGTGGAGGAGAAGAAAACCTCAGAAAGCCTCCTAGACTCTCAGAATTCAAGTGAATTAGAGAAGAAGCTGGATGCAGAGAAGGTGGTGGAGGAGAGGGGAGAGACCAGCCAGCTGGGGGCCACTGATCTTCAGGAGAACCCCGGGGCCAGAGCCGAAGCAGTGTTTCTCCATGAGATGGTAAGGTAGACTCATGGCCTGGTCCAGTCAGTAGGGTTTTCTTTTTCTCAAGGGCTCTTGGTACAGTTTAAGGTTTTTTGTTGCTGTTTGTTTATTTGTTTGAAGAACCAGTTTCTGCCAAAGAGCACAGCATTCTGATCAGGTCTGAGATTTTTTCTTTTTCCTGCAGTGAACTTTTCAGGGGTTCTGTGGTGATAACAAGTAACCATTCAGCTCAAATCCCGTAGGACAAACTCAGCTCTAAATATTTCTGATCTGAAGTCACCATAAATCAGTAATTTGTCCTAGGAATGTAATGACATTCAATCAGAAAGCAGGACAAAACCTGCTTGTCATGTCCTAGTCCCAAACATGATGACCACTCATGGGGGCCAACTCTCTTCCAGACATTCTGGATAGGCAGTTATCTATGCTTGTTTATAAAAATCTTCTGTAAGATTTTCAGGATCTATTCCTTCCTCCCATGGCTCTGGAGAACTTTTAAGTATGATGCCAGAGCATGCTGAACCTTTTCCACCTTTCAGAGGTGGGATTTTCCAAGGTTTTGGGGGAAGGGATATCATTGCTCATGCTGAAGTTTGAGGAGGTTTTCCAGGGACACCGAGAGAGGAGTCTTGCATTTGGGAAATAGCTCTGGTGACCTGAGTGTGACCTGGAGAAGCATGCCAGAGGAGAAAAGAACTTTGCCTTTTAAGTAGCTTTCAGGAACTTGGTCTCTGGGACGGGTATAAAAGGCTTATGGGCTAGAAGTTAGGGCAGCGCAGGGCTACCACAGTGGCCTCCGGAGGGCTGATTAAGGGTTCCTGTAAGTTATGTTTGTATTTATAGAAGCAGAAAGATGCAAAGATTATTTTGGGGATTGAATTCTGGGAGGGATAAAGTATGAATGACATTGCTTTGAGAAGCAGATGAAGTTTATGCTAGGAGAACCAGGCTGGATTCATGAGAACAAGTAAAAGCAGCAATTCATTCATTTAAAAACATGTATTAAATACCTATATCGTGTGAGACACACTGCTGAGCACTGGGATCACTGCAGTGTACAAGATGATCACCATCTCTGTTTTCTCGGAACTGACAGCTTAATAGATAGAAAGATCACAAACCAAGTCTTTTCTAGGATGCTATGGAAATATGGCTTCTGTGGGAGCGTGTCACAGGAGGGCCCAACCTAGTCAGAGGGAGGAGGGGGCTAATGGAAGGCATCTCTGAAGAATAGATATTTCTATTCAAAACTTAAGCTAGGAGAAAGGAGTAGGGAGCAGAATGAGGAGGGAGAGACTCCCAGGCAGAAAGAGTAAGATGTGCCGTGAATCTGAAATGGGAAAGAGCACAGAACATTCAAGGAACAAAAACAAGGCTGGAGAATGGGAACATGAACTAGAGAAAATGAGGCTCAGAGCAAAGTGTGGGTCACGTCATGCAGGGTTGCTTGGAAGGGATTTGGAGCTTAACCTAAGGGCAATGGAAACTCTTCTGATTTGCTCAGAATTTTATAGCTTAAAAAAGAACAGCTATTTTATTATTATCTATTTTTTGTTGCAGCACCTGGGCTTTCCCTAATGGTGAGTGGGGGCTCCTCTTCATTACGGCTTCTCACTGCAGTGGCATCTCTTTTTGTGGCGCACAGGCTCTAGGCATAGGGGCCTTGGTAGTTGCAGCGCTTGGGCTCAGTAGCTGTGGTACACAAATGTTAGTTGCCCATGGCATGTGGAATCTTCCCATACCAGGAATTGAACCTATGTCCCCTACATTGGCAGCTGGATTCTTAACCACTGTACCACCAGGAAGTTCCATTTTGCTATTTTTCATTCTTTTTTAATATGTACCATATCTTTTTTCCATGTGAAATGTGTATTTTTTCAGTAGTGAGAAGGGATAGCTGTATTTATTTGGAAATCAGGTGTCAGGGCAAGAGTTAACATTTCATTCCATTGGGAGAACCTCATTCTTATGAGCCATTAGATCAATCTGAAGTTATATGAGATCAGGGATTGGGTTGATTTCATAAGGCAACAATAAACAGGGATTAAGTGCTTATGTTCTGGTGTAGACTAATCTGGATTTCAATCCTGATCTGCTGCTGTGACTTTGGCAAAATGTCTAATCTGTTTGAACATAGGTTGCCTCATCTCCAAAATGGGAGTAATTACAGTAGCATTTATCTTTTAGGGTTCTTGGGACAATTAAGAAAATACGTTTAATGTGTGTTGTGGTGCACCGTAAGCATGAATAAACATCCTCAGTTACCATTAATGCTGTATCCTTTGTGTGCTGGGGTAGCCCAGCTGGTAGTGCAGTCCCTTCTGTCCCTGGGAAACTGTGCCAGTGTCTTTGGTTCTAAAGTAATCAGTTTCTTGATGTTTTTCAGGATGAAGATGATCTAGTCAACGCCCTGATCTGGCCTGAGATTCAACAGGAGCTGAAAATTATTGAATCTGAGGAGGAACTCTCCTCCTTGGCACCACCTGCTCTAAAGATCAGCCCAACTCAGCGTATTCTTGAATCTAGTCCAGGGCCTTTTGCTTCCCCGGAGGCCCCTGGGAGCTCCACCCCAGCTCCAGTCTCCACCCCTCTGGAGGAGTGGACTAAGAATCCAACCAATCAGAGCACACCTGGCACTTCCACAGCAGCCAATAGAGAAAAGCTGGAGACAGCCAGCATCCTCCCTAGATCTGAGCCAGAGCCCGAAAAGGGCCAGCGCCCAGACCCTGCCAGCCTGACTCCTCTGGAAATAGTTCCATTGGAGAAGTCTTCTCCACAAGCAAGGATGGAAGTGGGAGTCCCAAGGAATCTGTCTCCTCTGCTCCCACCTGCTGCTCCCACTCCAACACCTTTAGAGGAGGAACCTCGAGTCCAGCTATTGAAGAGTGGCCCTGAGAGAGAAGACTTATCTGGGAATTTGAGAGCCAATCCATATGCAGACCAGCTGAAGTCCAAAGGCAGCACTGGGATCCCCAGTCTTTGTCAGGGAGACAAGGCCTCTTCAGAAGAAAGTGAAAAGCAAAATTCAAAGAGTGCTGCTCCTGAGAGCAAAGGCTCTAGTTCTCCTAGCCCAACCAGGGAGGAGGCTGAGATTTCCCCACAAGGAGAGGAGGATGCTGCCCACTCAGTACAGGAGCCCTCAGACTGTGATGACGATGACACTGTGACAGACATTGCCCAGCATGGCCTGGAGATGGTGGAGCCCTGGGAGGAGCCCCAGTGGGTGACAAGCCCCCTGCACTCACCCACCCTTAAAGATATACAAGAGACCCAAATGCAGGGCCCCCAGGGCCACCGACTAGAAAAGAGGCTTTCTCACAGACCCAGCCTTCGCCAGAGCCATTCTCTAGATGGCAAAACCATGGTTAAGAGCCAGTGGACTCTCAAGGTTTCCTCCTCCAGCAGTTGTGCTGATCTTGAAGCAGAGAGAAATCCCAACCCCCTGCAGCCCTTGGCACCCAGGAGTGAGATTACTGGGTGGAATGAGAAAGCCATGAGGTCCTTTCAAGAGTTTTCTGGCCTGAAAAGGACAGAGGTTCCTCCCAAGCAGCAGGCACCAGGTGGTTTGCAGCCCACATCAGCAGAATCCAGCCCTGTCAGTCTAACAGAAGGAAAGCAACTGGGGACACACTTGGGGCCACACAACCCTCAGGTTGAGCATGGTGGTGATCCTGAGCCAGAAAGCAGCAAGGAGAACTCACCTGGTGTGCAGGACCACACCTCACCTGGAGAGCATCCCCCTAAGTTCCAGCTCAAGAGCAGTGAGGGTGGGGCCGCGAAGGGGAAAAATAGGCCTTCGTCTCTCAACTTGGACTCCACCATTCCCATCACTGACCTCTTCCGGTTTGAGAATGCAGCCTCATTTGGGTCACCTGAAGTGCAACTCTCTGAGCCAGGAGACCCAAAGGTCACATGGCTGACCTCATCTCATGGTAAAGTAGACCCCTGGAGGGTTTACTCCCAGGACTCTCAGGACCTGGACATGGTTGCTCATGCCCTGACGGGCCGCCGTAACTCAGCTCCTGTGAGTGTGTCAGCTGTGAGAACCTCCTTCATGGTCAAAATGTGCCAGGCCAGGGCAGTCCCAGTCATCCCACCCAAGATTCAGTACACTCAGATCCCACAGCCCCTGCCCTCTCAGAGCTCAGAGGAGAGTGGGGCTCAGCCCCTGGAGAGGAACCAAGAGGAACCTGGCTTCACTGGTGGGACCTCTCAGAAACTTAGCAAAGATGATTCTCTTTCCTCCTTGGAAAGCCCAAAGGAAGAAAAGCCAAAGCAAGATACAGGAGCCATTGGGTCCTTGCCAGTGGATACCACTGCATCTCGTGTGTGCGAGGGACCCACCCTTTCTCCAGAACCAGGTTTGACCAACCTGCTGACCACTCAGGATGCAGTAGTGCAGTGTAGAAAGCGCACATCAGAGACAGAGCCATCTGGGGACAACCTTCTTTCTTCAAAAATAGAGCGCTCATCAGGGGGTTCTAAGCCTTTCCATAGGTCTAGACCAGGAAGACCTCAGAGCCTAATCTTATTCAGTCCTCCTTTCCCCATTATGGACCACCCACCCCCCTCATCTACAGGGACAGATTCCAAGGTCCTGCTGTCCCCTATCAGAAGTCCCACGCAGACAATTTCCCCTGGCCTACTTTGCGGGGAGTTGGCAGAAAACACATGGGTCACACCAGAAGGGGTTACACTTAGGAATAAAATGACCATCCCTAAGAATGGCCAGAGACTGGAGACCTCAACAAGCTGTTTTTACCAGCCCCAGCGGAGATCAGTGATTCTGGATGGAAGAAGTGGAAGGCAAATAGAATGACATCAGTTCGCCTGCTGGTACCTGAGAAAATGTCATGATTCATCTGGAAGTTATTACAAAGGCTCCTTGCCTATATTCCAGGCAGAGGTTATCCAAGTTTGGGCTTATTTTGGCCTCTTCTTCTCTTTCTTTAGCCTTTTGACCATTTATTAATTAGGCCATTTTCCAGAAGAGAGGTCAGGGGAAGGACAAGAGATGACATTTAAATAAGCCTACTTGAGCAGGCAGGGAAAGTTCAGATAAGGGAAAAGGATGAAATGCTGGCCTCCAGTGATATGTGGGGCTTAAACATGTTGCATCACTCCCCCATTGCCATTATCTAGTGCTGTTAAGAGGGGATGTGAGAATATCTTTTGAAAGAGAAACCTTTTGCCTATGTTGACAAATGTTGCTATTGAGGTTTGAAGGCCTCCTATTTACTTCATGCTTTTTAATGCTCTTTAAAGCATGTGTTCTTTTAGATGAGTTTTCTGATAAGCTTTGTAAAAGTGTACTATCCAGAGTAGAAGCAGGTTTGGAAATGCAAACTAACGTACACTTAGATATCCAAGTGGGTGAATTTACCCATGCTTTCCCTGAATCCCTGCAGACCTATCCCAGATGGCTCCATACACCAGCATAGAAAAATCAGAATGTATTCTCAAGAGCAAACTCTGAGACTGGCACAATTCAAGAAGACTTTCTGGGTCTGGCTTTATTAATTTGGGACTCGACTGTCCTGCCTCTGATTTATAAATTCAGTAGTTGGGGAGGATGGGAGCTGAGCTGAGGGTTACCTCAGTGAAATGTGCTGAATATTCATTTAGGTGTGTGATAGTGAAGTGATCTGCTCTCCTTCCAGTGTCAGAGTTCATGAACAGGATGTCATCATAGAGAAAAGCCTCACACATAGGCAGAACTACATTCTAAACTTGCAGTGCTTAAGTCAATGGGACATTCGTAAAAAACACCTCTAGCTCAGCTTCACTCTCCTTCCTCAGCTGGGGCCAGAGTATAGGAGAAGATAAGGGGGGAATCCCAGGAGGAGAGAGAAGGACCCATGTGGGGCGGCCATCATGCCCACTTGACCGCTGCGCTTCTTGATGCCTGCCTTCCTCATTGTCCCTCCACTGCTGAACAGCAGCTTTGAGGCACTCCTCCCCTTTCCATAGTCCTCCTCATCCACCACCCTCCCCAGTGCTCAGCCTTGCTCTCCTCCTGTCTGTACGCAAGCAGAAGCAATAAACCAATCTGATCTTATTTTAGTTACTTAGAACATCAAGTGGTTCTTTCCAACTGGAGAGAGAAAGGAGGATTAACATAACCTGCTGACAGATTTTTGGTGCTTTTTCCAAAAAGGGCATCTTCACAGGAGCCCTGCTCAAGGCAAAACCCATCAAGGTATCAACACTTTCAGACCTTCAAGGACAACTATCTTGTTTGAGAAACAAAGAAAGCATAGGACCTATTTTTAGCCCTGTGCACCTCTTCTCAGGTTCAAGGCTGGCTGAACTCTGTCCAGAAGCTCAGTCACTGCACATATTTCTCTTAAGAGCTAGCAGTACCTCTGGGCTGACCTCACCACCAAGGCTGGTACTGGGCTGGATTACGGGCTGAACTGAAGTTACCTCCTTGAGTGAGAAATTGGAAGCTAATGCCCTCCAACAGTTACATATTGCTCTTTCCCTTCTTCTCTGATAAGTCTTACTGAGTTTTGAAACCTTGTCCTATACTTTTAAAATCAGTATCTATGGCAGAGATAACTGGCAGGCCAGCCGATGAGCTCTGCTTTCAGAGGGCACTGAGTGAGTAAGGGGAACAGTTAATAGGCCTTTAGTCTGTGTTTTTTGCATTCTCATTGGGTGAGCAAGATGTCGGACCAACAGCCAGTGAGATGTAAACCCATAAGAAAAGTCCTTCAAGTATATTTTTCCCCCTAGGCAAGCAAGGTGAAGGAGTATAGTGATGCCAGATGAGAAAGGCCACATTCAGATTTGAAAAGGACATTTCTGCCTTATCAAATGTGGCCAGTAGGCTGTATGTCAATCTCAGTACACCGTGGTATCTACGTTTTGATAAAGATCATGTTCCAGTTAGGAGGTGAGAGAAGGAGGGAACTGCACTTTGCTTCACCATCAGAACTCTGAGCCAAGTTTATGATGATGTTAAATTTTCGTTTGTAACACTTAAAGGATATATTTTAATTTGGGGATAGACTGAGAAGTCACCATTAACAAGTGAGTTCAACTTGAGGCACCCATGTAAATTTATTAAATGACTGCCATGTTGCTTAGATTGTGACATCTTTCATTGTAGCATCTTCAGGGGTTTTTATGTGTGGATGTCATCATGAAATAACAACTGAAGATATTCTCTACTCTGAGTTTTCCTGGCCAATCAATCCAGAAGGCCTTGGAAGCTGACTCACCTTCTTGGTCAGTGTCCTGCTGCTATAGTGTGGACCTCTCCATCTTCATAAGCTTCCTGGGGCAAGCCTGGCACTGATGACATTCCATTGCATGACAGGGAAAACTCATTACATTTCTCTCTTGAAATTGTTCCCCCCAAATCTGAGATTACCTATTTGGATATCCACTTGGGGCTGAAAAATGAACCCCTCTGAGAATGGCTGGATGGAAATAAGACTGCCTGCTTCTATCCAGGGGAAGGAAGAGAAGAGGTGCTGCTGTTTATAGGAGGATCTACATGGTGCCCTAGAAAGGGCTACAGAAACAGATTCTCAAAGGGCTATTGATCCTCAATATGGGGGTGGCTCAAATTCAACTATTGGTCCTCAACATGGGGGTGACTGATTTAAAACTTGAATTTAAAGTGGAAAACATGCATATTCTAATGTTTCTTTCAGTGTTAATGGCTGCTTAAGAGGATAATAACCTATATTTTGGCAAAATGGCCCTCGCAAGCCAACCTTTCCCCCCAACTTTTTTGCCAAAATGTACCAGGTAGAAGGAATTTGGCTTTTATTCTCTGCTTCAAATGGAATATGAAAAGGCCTGACCAAAAACCCCATTAAGACACTGTTATCCTAATCTAAGCCTTAAAGTTCAAAATATTGGCCGAGGCAAAATTCCGTATTCTGGGGAGATTAAAAATGTAAACATCATCCTCACAGACAATATTTGGCAAGAACTTAGTAATAACTGGGCACTTTAGAACTCTGAAATTCTTGAAGACTCTAGTGAAAAGGGGGAGAAGGATGGTAGCAAATGAAATGGCCTATAAGCAACTAGTAGCAAGATTTAGACCCATTAAGTTACCAAATGAAAGCAGAAGGGGGAAACAGGCAGCAACTTAGCACCTTGTAATATGATTGCTAATAGTGCGCAAGTTACCCAGACTCTACTCAAATGAAACACAATTACAAATCCAGTAGAAGGTACTAGGAAGACATTCAGGTGTTGAGAATTCTGCTTTGGTCAATTAACACAATTAGAGTGGTGACTAAGAATAAATAATTCTGAGGTTTTGTGTGGTCTTAATTAGTTTGGCTGTGAAATCCTCTTGGATCTTTGCAGATGAACCAGGTAACATCAGGGTTCCATACTCCTTGAGAGGGGGTTTTAGACACTTCCATTCATCACAAAATGGGTTAACTCCTGTTGGTAATGAAGTCATAGGTCCAAGATATATTACTTTCATGTCTAATGTTTAACACATGGTAATAACATTTGCCTCAAGTTGGGTGGAGCAGTCATTTGTCTACACAGGCCTGTTCTGCTTGAAAAGCTGTTGGGAAACTTGGGATTAATTTGTCTGGGATTGTAATGGGAGAGGTTCAGGGAAGGTCCATTTCCCCCTAGGGACTGATTAGAGTCACGTTCTACCGTGTGAATCTTGGGGTTAAGTGTTGCCAGGAGTGTGATCTTAGGCATCTCCAGCAGGAAGATCAGTTCAAAATGTGGAATGACAAAGAATGTGTCCTCCTTTGTCAACACCTTCCTAATAAAGGTAGAAGAGGGAGCCAATACCTTTCCAAGCATGGAGAGAAATGGGAGATGGTAGAAGCATGATGATTTAAGATCAGGGTCGGTCCAGATGGTGTAAAGTTGGGGCCACCACTGATTTGACTGACACACGGTAAATCATCTAGTAGCACTGAAGTTTATGAGCAATACAGGGATCACTTCTAGGAGGATGGAGGGTGTAGTTAAATATAAGAAACCCATGAAATACAGAGTCATGTGTTTTACTGGATGAATCAAAATGCTTCGCATTAACTTAATGCCATAGTACTTCCTGGCTTGTAATTCTGTAAGGTAAAGCACTTTCTCAAAGGAGTCTATCGGAAAGCCACATTTCAGCTGTTTGTTGAGCTTGATAAATGTTTCCAAAGATATAATCAAAATGTTTTTCTATTGATTAAAGAAGCATAAATATTAAACCTATCCATAGAGACATTTAAGTGTAATTAAAAGATTGTTATGCTTTAAAGTGTACTCTAATAAATGCTATATAATGCTCATGATGGCACTATGAACTAGAGGACATGGGTCATCTACATTGATAATAGGAAAAGTGGATTATATGCCTTCTGGCTCATTGTTCTAGTTTGTTTTGTTTGGTTTTTTTTATTACTTCAAGGTTTGGTCTCCTCAAGGCAAAAATCCTGATGATTTGCTTCAGTAAAATTTTCTTGCTTTTGTTATCTTGCATTTTAATAATTGTCAAATATTTACAACTTCACTCTCTTACTGTTGCAGTCATACATGTCACCCAAGATACCCAGTATAAATCAATGGATGTTATAATGAAAAATGAGAAGAAAAAAGTTATTCTCAGAACTCCACAGCTTAAGGAGTTGTGTGGATCTACCTACAGAAACATGAACTCACATTCAAGTTTTTCTATTACTTGAGTTAGGGAGGACTGTTTGTTTGATTTTTTTTTGTTGTTGTTTGTCTGAAGGAAAGCAAGCGTTTGTTTTTTTTTCTTGTATTTCTTCCGTCGGGGGTTGGTTGGAGGGCTTACTTAAAAAAAAAAAAAAAAGATACTGCCTAGGCTCACAACTTGGTGATATTTGCAGTGAAAAGTAGTTACCAAGAGGATTAAAATTCAAGCATTTTGGCAATATCCTATTTAGAACTTTACACCAGTCAGGCCTGCTCCTCTTCCTTCATTACTGTTATAAATGCCTTTTTTTCTTATGCACTCCCAGATCCCCACACTCCTCTGTTTCTCTCTCCTGAGTGAGCCCACCACCCTTCCCCATCTCCAGTCTGGCAACAGCAGTTCCCCTCACTCCTAATCTTTCCTCCAATTCCCAGGGTCCTCCCCTCCTTGCAGCTTCTTCACTGAATGTTGCCTCCACTTCTTCGACTTCAATAAAACCTTGACATTCACCTGAGGACAATTCTTTCTCTGCCCATTTCTCCCACATTACACAGACTAGGAAAAGCCCAGAAAATTTATCCAGTTTCCCACTCCTGCTTCTGCACCATTTCTTCCCATCTCATACAAAAGTCTCACTACTAGAATTTATGGCATCCAGCTATTTTAATTTTTCCATTCTTTGTGGCCCTGATGTAATCCTTGTCCCAGATTTCCAGTCTTTGGTACCAGGCTCCATTTCCTTTCTACCTCATGTCCCATCATCATCCTGGATGCCTTTAATGTTCCTGAGGAAAATTTGCCACAACTGCTTACAGCTTTTGCCTCAACTGTTGCTTCCACAGTTACACATCAGGCTGTTTCATAACACAGAAGTCTGTGATCTTAAACTCCCATATTCCTTTCTCAGAACTTGTCTTTGCTTTGTTTCTTCTACTTGCTCAAGATTATGAATGCCTGCCCCAGCCTGCCTCTCTCTGATGGCCATTACCCCCACCAGACTTCATCCTTCATCCTTAGCCTTTCCAGACCCCCAAGTACATCATTCCATCATCTCAGTTATTCTCATAACTTCCTTGGCCACTCATCCTTCAGCTATACCTGCACGGCAAAACTCCAAACCAGGAGCAGGACTCTTACCACCCAACTTCTCTACTCTTTTACTGTGTCTATTGAGTTCAACTAGAGAAAATCATAAAACCATGATGAAAGCCATTGTAAATTTATAGTTTATCACCTAAAGATGGCCTCATTCTCAAAACTCACACAGTATTCTAGATGGACTGCTCCTTTCAAAACCTAATGGCTTCTTACTTCACAAGTTTATACAGGCTTCCCTGATGGCTGTTGGTAAAAGAATCCACCTGCAATGCAGGAGACCCTGGTTCAATTCCTGGGTTGGGAAGATCTGCTGGAGAAAGGATAGGCCACCCACTCCAGTATTCTTGGGCTTCCCTTGTGGCTCAGCTGATAAAGAATCCACCTGCAATGTGGGAGACCTGGGTTCGATCCCTGGGTTGGGGAGATCCCCTGGAGAAATGAAAGGCTACCCACTCAGGTATTCTGGCCTGGAGAATTCTGTGGACTCTATAGTGGGGTCACAGAGTCAGACACGACTGAGCAACTTTCACAAGTTTATGCTTATGTTTCCTCTACCTCACACAATGCTTGTCTCCTTATTCATGTGTGTACCTAAACTTCTGAGAGGAAGCAGTCCACCCTTGTGCTCCATTAAACTTCTCTTGCTAAAGTTACCAGCGGTATCACACCAAAGCCAAGTCAATTCTTGACTTACCTCATATTCGATACTGTAATCATGACTCTGTGGAACCTCTTGATTCATCTTATCTCTTGGACTTCCATTCCCTTTGATTCATTTGAAAGCTTCCTCTTCCCTTGAGTGTTGTTATTCATCAGAATTCTGTCCTCTTTTCACTCCATATACTTTCCCTACATTACTGTATGCATGTCCATAGCTTTTCCTATCACCCAGTAGTGGTGACACCCCACCCTCGCTTTTCCTGTTTTCTCTTACATGGACTTTCAGAATGGTTGGCTAACTGATCTCCCTGCTTTAAGTCTCACACCCCCCATTCTCCAAGCCTAGCCTATGTACAGCTGCTAAAGTTATCTAAGACAGTGGTTCTCATCAAAATCCTCTGGAGGGTGTGTTCAGACTGTTGTATTCATCCAGAGTTTCTGAGTCAGTTCAGGGGTAGGGCTTGATAATTTCCATTTCTAACAAGTTCCCAGGTAGGTGATCCTTACGCTGCTGGTCCAGAAGTTACACTTCCAGAACCCTTGACCTGAGAACTCTTTGGGTCATCCTAAATCCTCAGCTTAAAATCTCTCATTAGATGTCCTTCTGTCCACTTAAGAATTATCTTAAGTGCTTGTGAAAAGTGTTTATTACTGGGATTCACCCTCAAGATTCTCAGTAGATCTGATGCAGCCCAAGAGTCACTCCTTTGACAATCTGTGACCTATAAGATAATAAAAATCTGAACCACTTAATGTGGAATTCAAGTTCCTCTGCAATCTATTCCTTGCCTAGCTCTTTAGCATTACTGAACTCTTCCTTAAAAATCTATGTGAGTTTTTGTATATACTGTTCACACTGCATAAGCCCTCCCTCCCTCATCTCTGTAGTAAACTAGAGCTCCTTCAAAAGGCATCACGTGTGTGACTGATGCAGTGTAGCATCCCCTGACACTACAGCTCCCCAGCAAAGTTGATCACTTTTCTGCACTTTCTTGCATGTACTTCCTTGACTAAGCATCTCTGTGTTATAATTGACTGACTTCTCTGCCTTCTAGTTAATGCACTCTAAACATCAGCATCTCTGGTACTCAACAATATTTAGCACATAGTAATTGCTCAATAAACAGAAATGAGAGGGATTGTGTAGAGGTAATTGATAGGGAGGGAACGGAAAGCAGCTTAGAAAACATGGAATCACAGTAAACATATTGCTAATGCATGTTACCATCATGCTAATACATGCTAATGCATGTTACCCACCCTCCTTCACTCAGACACATTTACTCACCTTAAACCATCCAGATAACTGGTCAAGAATCTTCCCTTTTGCAGTATCCCAAGTTCACCTAACCTATACCATTTTTTTCACACACCATTTCCCGATATTTAACAATTTTTAAAAAGCTATTTAATGGGCATGCATCTCCATCACTAAATAAAGATGGTGTCCTTTCACATGATCCCTAAGAAATAGGATACACAAATAACTAGTAATTCTCTCCTCAGAATGTGACACCTACAAATGTCAGCTGAAATAGGCAGACAAAACTGAAAGGTTTTACCTCTGATGCTGTTGTATCTGGAAGGAGAAGGGGGGTACCGTGCAATACCGTTAGTCAAAATTTATTTGTATTTATTATATTCGCTCATTTGTTTGGCCAGGTTGGCATCTGGTCCTTCTGTGCTACTTCTTTAGAACATAGCCAAGTCAAACCGGAAGGAGGAATCATGTCAGCTTTCAAGACCAGTCTATTAATCTCTATAATTAGTTATCTGGGCTACTTCACAGTGACAGAACCAATTTGGGATCATTGTGATGAAACATCTTTGTGCCTCGGCCACCCATTTTACTCCTAGCTGTCAAGTCATCTCATCAAAATGTTAGTCAAAAGCAGCGTATCTTGGGACTCCCCCAGTGGTCCAGTGGTTAAGACTCCATTTTCCAATGCAGGGGGTATGATTTCAATCCCTGGTTGGGAATTAAGATCCCACATGTCATGCAGTGTGGCCAGAAATAATAATATTTTAAAAATTTAAAAAAAGCATATCATCAAGAATCTAAGGAAAGTACACTGAAATGGCAGCTTTGCCACCTTCCCCCACTCCAAGAACCACCATATGTAGGCTGAACCACTTTACAAAAAGCAACCAACACACTGGTGGTTATTTTTCCAGTGTACCAAAATTGCTCAGGCTTCCCGGGTGGCACTAGTGGTAAAGAATCCACTTGCCAGTGCAGGAGACTTAAGAGACGTCGGTTCAACCCTGGGTCGGGAAGATCCCCTGAAGGAGAGCATGGCAACCCACCCCAGTATTCTTGCCTGGAGAATCCCATGGACAGAGGAGTCTGGTGGGCTACAGTCCATGGGGTCACAAAGAGTTGGACACGACTGAAGCGACTTAGCACATAGCACACAAAACTGCTCCTACCTGAGGGATTGTCTCCTTGAGGATGCCTTCTATTGGTGCCATTGCTAGCACTATTTCCTTATTCTGACTTATTTTCTCTTTACCACCCTTATCACTACTAGCAAGAGACATTATATATGTTTGTTTACAGCATATTTCGCACCTCCCATTCTGCATACTGTAAGCTCTATGAGGTAGGGCCTTTACTTTTCTTATTTGCTGCTATATCCCCAGTACCTAAAATAGTGCCTGGTGGTCACCACATATTTGTTGAATGACTGAACTGACTCAGAACGAATTCCAAATAATGTAACTTTAAAAAAAAAAGTATATCCATCAAAATTTAAGGAAACAATGGTCACATGCAGCAGTCACTTTAGGTAGCTATATATACACCTATTCCTCATAGTGCTGTCTTTGCTGAAACCTGTTGGGAACTTTCAGAGCCAGTATAGGAATTGTATGATTATTTGTTTTCATTTCATAAGCCATATTGTATTTCAGCTGTCTTTGGTGAAACCTGCTGGGAACTGTTTTCAGAGCCAGTATAGGAATTATATGATTATGTTTGTTTTTACTTCATAAGCCATATTGTGTTTCACCAAAAGCTTCACAGTGTAAAAAGGTCAAAAGGAACATAGGAAACAC